TTCCAGAGAAGGTATCGTTCTTTCTACTTATAATATGGGATGACCAGAATTTAATTCTGAACAACTTTAATTAAAAGTTCAAGAATAAAAAATCATTTCAGTATTTAGCAAGTTGGCTATTAATAATCGTAGCCGTTCGTAGTCGAACCCATAGCTACCGTCCAAACTACTTGGGACGGCCCAAACTATGTAATAATTAGCATCATATTGCTTTAACCTAGTTTTAACCACAAACTATGTGATGCTAACCATCACAACAGTTTGGACGGCAACCATATTAACTATATGGTAAAAATTGTCTCTTGTTAAAAGATATAGTTTAAGAATTAATTTTACAATGTATAAACTATGGGCTTTTTTAAATAGCCATTAAACTTTACTACACATCATATACAATACCTTACGTAAAAGATTTTATTCGCTTCCTTTTTAAAATGCACTTGATCAAAACGATTTAATTAAAACAAATACTCTACATTCAAATAATCAAAATAACTATCTAATGGTATTGTATGCATTTCTACCATGGGCATTCTCCATAACAATTATAACAATTGATGTTGTAATAATAATTTTTATAAGGATTCTAATTTCGTGTGCACCCAATAGTTCCAATTCATATGCCAATTTTGCACCAAAAATAACGTTTATAAGTTATTAATTTTTAGCTCAGCGATGAAAAGTTTCCGGTATTGACTATTTCTTAATCGATCAATGCCTTTCTTTTCTTATTTGATGCTAGACTCTCTCAGGTGTGTGTGCTAAACCGAATCTCTACAATTGTTTCGTTGAAATGGTATATGTTATAAAAAATTCAAGTATATTGCATAATATCAGAGATGACAATTAAATTTATTAATAGTGTGGAATTATTTTCACCATTTTAATTCTATTTCACCAGTACTATTATTATTCACACCACTAATTCTGCTGTATTATTGCAAATATATTGTATAATACTATGCAATTATATACCTAGTTTATATAAATTTAAAATATATAAATTATGTATCTAAGCTACACTTTGCTGCAACAAAATTTTGTAAGACATCAAAGTCGCCTGATTAACCGGTAAGTCTACCACAATATTAGGATGAGATTGTATTGTATTCAAATAGCTTTATTACAATCGTTACAAGTAATGTCAGTGGGAGGAGTAGGACTCAATTCGTCAATGTAACCTAATATCGCAGCATTATTTGGATCCAAATCACAATATCCTCTGGAATTTCTCATCTGAGAATTGAAAACAAGAATTCCTTTTAGGCAAGACTTTTTACAGCAAGGTCTATTGTAGTTCTTTTTGCATGTAATGGGGAGATTTTGCAGTATTTGTTGTACGAAAACAAACGAAAAGTAAACTTATTTGTAGGAATTTCATGATTGGGCTTAATTAAAATCAAAATCGTTTGATTTTATGAAGGAAAGAAATAGGATTCATTGAAATAGGATATTTAAAGTATGAAAAGCTGACACCAAAATATTTGGGCATGTGTTCGATTTAATTTAATTACAAAGAGCAATTTAATTACATAGCTTCTATGGACGATTCCACGTATATTCCTTTCTAGTAAATTAGCCAAAACAATTCTCACATTTTATCTCTAACTGAACAGTTTGGAAGAAAAAAGGAATTTCCATTAAATACCGGTTCCGATCAACCCATCGACAATCACTTAAAAGACATCACATTTCACCGCGAGCTTACTTTACTGACAAGTTCATTTCGTAAACAGTATATTTCACTGACAGCTCATTTTACAAAGTAATTCTAATGATTGTCGTTAGGTTAGGCTTAGAATTAGAGTCAAGGTTAGTGTAATTTATAAAAACTTGTCTGTGAAACGAGCTGTCGATGAAATATATTGTCTACAAAATGAACTTTTCTGTAAATTAATCGTCCGTAAATAAAGCTTGTCGGTGACCTTATTCACAAGGGGACTCGTTACCATCATTTTCAGTCGAGTCACAATTCAGAATCTCGGTTTATCCCTAAAGCATCACCAGTATTTCAGAGGTTTGTTTTATACATTCGTGTTAATAATCACAAGCTTAACATACTATCAAATTATCATTACTAGTTGTATCTGCATCAGACTGGATAAAAAAAAAAGGAGATGAACTCAAGTACTAATGCTGTCATATCTGATGTCAAACTTACACAGCCAGAATTAGATTCCACATCATTTTCAATCGATGGAACTTTTTCAATATATGTACTTTTTTTTTCTTTCTTGACTTTCGCTAACTAAAAATAATAAAATGCATCTGTGGAAATATACCTTTTTCTTCACATGCTTGGACCTGATCCTTCCAATTTATATATAGGAATCAAGTTCAGGATCATTAACGGGCTTTCTCTTTTCCTAAGAGGTTATAAAAAAATTATATAGTCGCAGCTAATGTAACAATGCCTAAAAATCCACCTGTCTTTTCAAATAGCAGGATCGTTTATCATTCCGATTGTTCCGCTGTTAGATACTATCTCTCTATAAATAGTTACACCGCGTGCAATTTCCATAAATGTCGGTTGGTTTATGTGAACCTATCTATGTGAATGTTCCTTCTCTCATTCTCTCGCCATTTTTCTATGAGATCGAGTACCCTAACAATGGAAATTCAAGAAAATTAATTAAACATCAGGCAAACTTGGCGTTCACCTATGTTAAACTAGCGTCAGTATTCTTGACTGAAACATCAGGTGAGCTTGGCGTTCACCTGTGCCTGACTAGTGCCGGTAGTCTTGGTGACTTTTAAACGTCAGGAGAGCTTGGCGTTCCCCTGCGCCCAACACTGTTGTGGCTAGTCTTAGCGACTTTGTATAGTAGATGAGCCTGGCGTTCTCTACCACACTACATATTTCAAAACTTCAAAAACTCGCCTGATTGTAATTATCGGGCAACTTCTAAGTTTTCACCCATTTTTGACCTTTTTCACTATTAATAATCGTCTTAGAAGATAAAATGTATTCCTCTATTTTTTGTTGATACGATCCCAAACTACATTCATTAAAGAAATCACGAATGTCCCAGTTCGATGATTTTTCGATCAAAGTTTGTGTGGCTGTTTTTAACAAACTTAGGCCTAGTGATCATGATCGTTTTGTGTATGGCGTCAGCAAACAAATTTGACCTTTGTAATCACGTTGTTTCTCAAACTTCATTAATATAGGAACTGTACGAGTAATATATATAGTATGAAAAATAAAATTGTGGCTACAAGGGTAGAATCGCCACCCAAAAAAATTTCAGTGCTGTTAAGTTAAGGTTAGGATCTTGTCCCTAGGTTGGGGTTAGAAAGTATATACCAAAATTTTGCAAGATTTTTATAGATTTTTGACAATTTTTCTGATCGTGATACGTTACAACTGATCTTGAAATTTGATTGGCCAACAAAATTTTTTAGGGTGCCCTGTTAAATAGTAGCGAACATTCAAAAGAAAGCTTAGATTATAAGTTTCTTTTGACTATTAAATAATTAAGATAACCTCAAAATCCATCAATATATGATCTGTGAAAGTCAAGGTATTGATTTTTTTAAAATATCAATCTGCCTTATATTTCTTATATTTATTGACAGCAGCCCATATATATCCAGTGTATCAAGTATTTCAGCATTAATTTAACATAATATTTTTTCAATTTAATATATACTATATACCTAAATATTTTTAATAAAGCGACGATATCAAAGTTTTTATAATGTAACGTACGTAAGGTACTTTCGTAATTTTTAAATAATT